TATATATATATATATGTGTGTGTGTGTGTGTGTGTGGGTGTGTGGGTGTGTGTGGGGGGGTGTGTGTGTGTGTGTATGTGTGTGTATGATAATGGGGAAAAATACAGAGTTAGTTTTTCTGGTTAAGATACACCCTTCAATATAATAATATGGAAAACTTGCTACGATTAACTCAGTTAACGAAAAGGTTTTAGTATATTCGTATAAACTTGTATAGTACAGTGGTTATGTTATCACCTCCCCAACAGGTGGCCACTGTATCCCGACAGATGGGCCACACATACCTCAGCCCTAACATGGTTGGGGCTATTAAAGGTGAAAAACAGGTTAGAGATGCCCGAAAATAGCACTCCCAAGTCAGCTCTCTGTGGCTTAGAAAATGATTCTAATTATTGTTTCCTATTTTTCTAATTATTGTTTTAAGGCGGCACCCCTTATAGTAACAAACATTTATGTTGCATATATGTACACAAAGAAAATCGAGACTATACACGGGCGCAAGTTTAACTCTCGGATGTATAATCATTTTACTCAATAAGGCAATCACATCGCATTAGTTCCAATTTACACCAGATGTTTTAAGCAGGTTCTTATAATAGGCCTCAATGTCCATGATAATGACACCATGTACAGTAGCGAAGACAAAGAATTAGGATAGTTATGGGAATTCCCCTCTTTAATTAAAGTAATCATTTTCGCTAGGTACAAGTCTAGATCATTCATCCAATCACAACATCGAGGGAGCTGTAGACATTTATCATAATCTATCTCTTTGTTTATTTTCTTTTTCTAATTTCTCAGTTTCTTATTTTTCTAAATAATAGACAACACATATATAAAATAACTCAATTAATAACCATTGTATTATATTAAACATGTGACTAATTATTTTGATATAAAAACAATTGAATAAACATTGTAAGGTGTTTTTACATCCGCCCTATGTGGTTGTTAGTTTTTGTAATGAGTTTTTAAATCCCTAATTTGTTTTGAGTTTTAAACCAATTGACTCTTCATGCAATACTTTTTCATCAATCGCGTTAAACATCTGTGCTACTGGGTCAATCACAGTATATAAATATTGATAGACGGATTCAGAGTAGTATGTTATAAAAATGTAACACGTCGGAGTGGAAGTATTTTGTGGGATAGTACGTCACCAAAATCCGGACAGAGATAAGCTCTAAACTGTCTAAGCACAATCAAGCACACATAAAGCGTAAATTCACTATCGTTATTATATACTTTATTTCAGTATAAATTTTGTGTGTTTTAGGTTTCAGCCATTCTCATTAATAGGCCAAATGATAACAATAAAACATTACTTAGGCCTATATCATAATTTCAAACTAACTGCTGTTAAAAGGCGCTCTCGCCGCGGACAAGTGACCAGTCATTAGTATACACGGTCATTGAATTTGAATAACATTGACAGGAAATGTTAAAATAAGCCTATGATACTTCCACATTTGTTTAAATAATTTATCTTGAAAATATATTTAACAGTTGGTGATTGATAACACGACTGAAGCCGGGTACTCACTGCGCGCGACGGCGACGCAACGGCAACGCGACGACGAATTTATTAATTTTTATATTTTATATTTTTAAATTATAATCTTTTCATATTCTTTAAATTATAAATCATTTTTATATGGTATGAACAAAGAAAACCAAAAATTAGTAAATATTATAAAATGCACTGAAATTCGGATTGCACTTATCTTAAATTTACAAATTGATTAAATATTAAAATTATTAAATGATATTTATAAACAATATATATATATATATATATATATATATATATATATATATTTTGCATATCTTATAGCATATAAATTTATTATGATTAAAACGAAACATAAAGGATACTAGACCGTGGTTAGACTATTCACCGATTTCAAGTGGATCACTAACATTTTCTTTCGCACTTTTGAGTAATTCTTTTCAATTATGTTTTATTTAAATTCAAGTTGTGGTAGAGTAATACTACTACTACTACTACTACTACTACTACTGCTGCTACTACTACTACTACTACTATTACTACTACTACTACTACTACTACTACTAATAATAATAATAATAATAATAATAATAATAATACAAAATATATATTTATACGTAAATAAATACATGAATATGGGCTTATGTATAATATGTTTAATAGTACTTTTAATTTGTATTCGCATAATAACAGTATGAAATTATGTTTTAAAACATGGTAAATTTATTTACATGATTATTATTATATATTGATTATTTTATAGGGTCTATATAATAAATATTTACCAATGAAAACTTCCATTTTAACTCGTCAATCTATTAGTGGATTTGGATTGGCTAAGCTCATACGCTCGTAGTTTGCTGTCCGTATACCATGCCTTAAACTTACGTCACTCGTATACATACGGTCGTAGAATAACATGTTGAGATCAAAGCAGAGCCAGATATCACCAAAATGCACCACCGAAGAGTCGCAAAAAAACGATGATATTGTTCATGAAAATAACCGAACTCCTGGAACGACTAACAAGAAACTGGCATCAATAAAGGTAAATTATTTACATTTCTAAAGGAAGTATCATGATTAGATATACTAGAGGGTGCTCTCACTTGACTTGCAAGTTACAAAGCATACTTCATGGACTTTCAGGTGCAGGTTTTGATAGTAGTTTCATATCATTTTTCATAATATGAAAATATTTAGAAATGATATGAAACGGCAGTGTAGTTATTGGTATTGAGAAGTATTTTGTATTTCTCTACATCATTTTCCTTGAAAAATGTTTTTGTTTGCATTAAAATTAACATGATTTGCAATAGGTAGGCCTAAAATACAACATATTTTGATCAGGGGCTGCTAGCTAAAGAACGATTTACTAACAGAAAACATACTGTACCTGACGGAAATCGACTGTGTTCTTTAAACGAAAAGAACTTTTTAAATTTGTATAAATATTGCAATTAAAAAAAATTTGAATTTTGAGCAATTCTATTATATATAGCCTGGCTTTAGCCAATTCAGGCCCGTAACTAAGATCCTTTAAGGCTAGAAGCTCATGGGAACCAATGGTTGAAAGGCAGCCTAGCCTAGGCGCCCTATTGGGATTTTGTATTATTATTATTATTATTATTATTATTATTATTATTATTATTATTATTATTATTATTATTATTATTATTATTATTATTATTATTTTTATTATTATCATCATCATTATTGATATTATTGTTGTTATTATTAGTCCAGTAGATTATCCACATTATTATTATTATTATTATTATTATTATTATTATTATTATTATTATTATTATTATTATTATTATTATTATTATTATTATTATTATGCGCCCTATAAATCCATTGATTGATTGATTGATTATTATTATTATTATTATTATTATTATTATTATAATCATGAGTATAATCATGAGTATTATTATTATCATGAGTACTTGTTATTATTATTATTATTATTATTATAGGTTGCCAATGTTGAATCAACTTCGAAAAGACAAATGAAACGTACTAGAAATAGAGAGTTGGCCCAGAAGAGTCGCAATAGACGCCGAGAGAAGGTTATGTCACTTGTTTTGGTAAATATTAAAAATATTACATATATAGTATAGTATATTATATATATATATACTGTCTCTTATACACATCTAGATGTGTATAAGAGACAGTATATATATATATATATATAAGATACTTTACATCAAGTGTAAACCATGATATGATATTTCTACAGGAATCTGAAAAACTTGATGCCAGACAGAAAGAATTGACGGCCGAGGTGAGTCTACTGCAACAAGAAGCCAACCAACTTGTGTATATTCTTGAGTGCCATCGCTGTCACTATGGTAACGCCTGTCCGATTGTTCACAGCAACATACACTTTGGAGTCCAATAATAAACCATACTGGCTTTCTCAACTCGTTTCTCCGTTTGTCATACCATGGAGGTATGAAAGAAATGCACAGAGCGTGCAGCGAAAAAAGGACGCAAGCTCATGGTTGAACCATCTCCTTTTTTTTTATACATCCATGGTCATACTCCCTCAAGGTTGATCCCGCTTAATCTTTCGTGTGCTATTAAACCCGGATTAACCATGGTATAAAGCATTAGATCATTGGTGGCCAGTTTTATCCTCATAGTCTCTGATTAATTTTTGGGGTAGGTGTATATAAGTAAGAATATCCGTTTTATGTATATTTTTGTAATGTTGCGGATAATAGCCCTTGATGGCTTTTGAAACGTCAATAAATTTAATTGAATTTAATTAAGGAGAGAAATAATTTCTTTGTATTGTTATTATACTATAGGACTGTCATATAATATATTCAAAATGAGTCCAGGAGATAAAGATTATTATTAGTACGTTTGTTAAAAATTAATATTTTAATACATGCTATTATCAAATATATTTGGACGTATATTTTTTGCACACAACGACAAAGGTTCGTTTGTGTTCAAACTTAAAATAACAAAGTTATAAGATGTCACATGAACAACTTTGAACTAAACTTGATGAACGGACCACCATATAATAGTTATATTACTAGATTTGCCTATAATCAGTGGCGCTAGGATTTGCCCGACAGGGCCAATCCCCCCCCCCCCAAGAAGGCGATTTCCCGAACGGGAGCATAATTGGTGGGACCAGGAGCTGCTGCTAAGAACCCCTCAGAAAGGTTCAGGTGAGGACGAAACCTTTAGAGATTGAAAAGGCTTATCGATTTCAGAGTATCACATTTCATAAAAATTACATAGAATATTTTTCTCCCTGACAAATTTTGTTCTTTTCTCCCAAGGGAGTGGGCGGAGGGAAGCTCTTTTCGACGGGGCTCTGGCATCTACTCATCCACTGGCGTTACCACTGGATAAAAAACTAACTAGATATTCAGTTTTGCTTTTATGTTATAGATTTTCGTTTTTTATTGAGCTTTATTTATTCATATATGCAATATAGGGCCTACTTTAATAAGCATTAAAATAATTATCATAAATCGATCGATCAAAAGATTTTAATTAATGAACATTTCAGAGTGTTAATCAGCTTTCAAAACTGACTAATCAGAATCATGTCTATTTTACGTACGTTTATGCTGTTGTTTGGTGGTACCTTAGCAACAGCATTCATGGGGCGGAGCTTAACGAAAAGGCGTCGAGTGAATGGCCGTATTCGACAGCTCGTTCTTCGTTAAACCACGCCCAGCTGCGCAGTGGTAAAATCCTACTTAATGAAGACGACCAGTCGAATAGAAACAGGTAAATACTCGACAAAACAAAATGGCTGCATAGTTACCGCGATACACGCTGCGTATAATCAAGGCTGCTTCGGATTGGCAGTATGGGTTTTTCGTAAAAAAATGTTTTCATCCAGTTTTTGAATTCTGTTAGCCTACAATTATTTTTTGACTTTAATGTGGGTAAATATTATAACTTTTATTTTCTGAAATTTAATCTAAATTATATTAACGCAAATGTTGTTGCTAAACTGACCAATCGGCCATTATTTTGTCACGTGCATAACTTAACGCTGATAAACGCATTCTGGTTACGTTAATATTCGTTGTCCACGAAGTCTATTTTACGAACCAGTCGAATGAAAATAATACTCAACGAAAAGTCGTACTCAACGAAATGAACCAGTCGAATAAGCCCATTGTTAAAATATTGTATGTGAAACTACAAGGTTTAAGCCGGGAACACAAGGCGCGTATGACAGATGTTTTTAACTTCGTGCCGTCAAGAGCTCTAGCGGAGATGGATTCGCGGGCCTGGTCGACTGTCGGCCGATGTAGCACCTGCCTGGCTTTAGAGCCTCAGAATTAAACAAAATGATAATATTTTGTCAAAAAATGAAGAAAGGGTTTATATACCAAAGTTAGTTGATAATGTTTAATGTATTGAATAATAACTTTGAAAAACAACATTTTAGCAGAAGAGAGGATCAAATCATTATTATTCTAATGTATTTTTTTTTTCAAACTAAGATAGACGTTTCAGTTTAGCTGGACCCTCTGTACACCACATTCAACGCTAAATAGACAAACTCGAGACTGGTCTGGTGGCCGTAAGTGGGGTGGTTTCCTCGGGCTCCGCGTCAGTCGTCGCTTCTGTTTCGTTGTCATCGTCATTTTTCCCATCAGAAAGTGATCGTAAGCTTAGCTAAGAACGAAGGAATTATATAAACAGTATTTGCTGACGGCATAAAATATGATTCTCTATTATAATTATAATTAAATTAATTGTATGTACAATAATTATACATGACTGATAACAATTTCCTCAATTTTATCTGTGGAAAATCACAACCATGCGTGTGGTACTAAACAACGGTAGTAATAAAATGTGTAATCAATAGTGTTAACGGCTAACTCCTTTCAGTATCATACATAATAATATACGACAGTATTTCTAGCCGTATTGCCAGATTTATCTGGCCGAACGCCCTCCTGAGGCGTAGCATTGTGTAATAAAATGTTCCCGACGGTTATTTGGACCTGTTCAACCATGAAGCCTTCGTGGTCTAGTGGTTATGACGCTCGCCTTGTCATCGAGAGGTCGCAGGTTCGAATCCCGTCGGTGGCATTTTATTACACAATGACTTTTATAGGACTTTATTCGTTGAAAAGCTACAGGGTAGCCTACGATGTTCCATCATGTCCTTATTAAAACACTGTATATGTACCTTTGATGATTTATATTACAAT